TCAATTTTGGGGGACAAATGGTATCTGGAAGTCCCAGTGAAAGTGGTGAGGTCTGGATTTTCTGCCATTAAATAAAACAATATTTCTTTCTCTTTTCCCACCAAGTTTTTTACTTTTTACAAACCTATCAATGCGTGAACAGTGTGGCACCTGAGTGTCATACATTTTAATACAAATAAAATAGTATTAATCATATTTGTTTCATTTCACAAGATTATACAATTCTGGTAATAATACACATATTTTTATTAGATCTTTCATTATTTAGTTATTCAATATTTCAGTGTGTCATTTTTATGCCAGTCACCCTATTCTGTCATACCTTTTAGTACAAATAGAATATTATTAATATTCATTACATTTAGCAAGCTTATATAATTCTAATAATTAGTAAAAACATTTATGTTAAATTAAAATCTTCCATTATTTGCTTATTCAATTTATAATCATTCCTTATCTGGTTATTCAATGTTTCAATATGTTATTTTTATGTCAATCACCATATTCTGCAGGTCATGTATTTTAATACAAATAAAGTATTTTTAATCATGTCTGTTACATTTAGCAAACATACACATATTCATATTGAATTATAATCGTTCATTATTGATTCAATCAATCTATCTCTGTATATAAAAGCAAAATACCCCTCATGCATCATCACAAAATCTCCAGAACCGTAAAGCCTACAAACTTGAAATTTGGCCCAGACGTTCCTCTTGGCTTCTACGGGCTCACTAAGAAAAGATTCTTCGAAACGACCATCAGAGCATTTAGTGTATTTCCTATATTATTATTATTAACGTGCTCTGATGCTAAGGAGTTCTGCTCCCCGTTCCCACCTGGAAAGAAATCTCTTCCAAATGCAAAACACAAGCAGCGGAGAGGAGTTTCACTTTCAGTTTCACAGCAGCCCCAAACAGCTTTAATCCAGAGCAGTTGAGCTAAGCCACACCCAGGCTCCTTGCTGCCTCCTTGCTCATACAGCAGATATGGTTTCAGTTTCCAAACAGCCCTCAACTCTCTCACACACTGACAGAATGCTAGACAGGTGAATACTGATGGAGGCTGGTAGGCAGAGGCAGAAATTTCCCCCCCTTATTTTCCTCCCCAAAAACTAAGCCTGACTATAGAGTTTCGTAGTGAAGCACAGGTATCCAGCTAGTAGTTGAATATATTATTTTTATGCCAGTCACCATATTATTTAAGAATACTTAGTAATACCATCCATTCCAATTTCCCCTCTTATTATTACTTCTCCTTATTATATAAAAATGTGTATTTTATTAATTTCCCCCTCTCACTAGTTTCCATCCCTATTCTAACTTTGATTATGCCGCTACTGTATTTAACCATATTCCCTTTCTAACCATCATCTCTTAATCGCTTTATAGCTTTAACTGTTCGTTTCTAAGCTTGCCTCCCACATTCCTCTCTTGGATCTTTATTTCTGTCTGCTTAAATACCAACATATTTCCAAGTTGGATCCGCTTCCAATCTCTTTATTTGCCTCGAGTTCAAATTCTACTCAGGTCAGTAATGTTTAACTGACCCCTTCGCCTTGGTCCCTGAGGGATATTTTGCACGAAAATGCCAAATACGGCTGGTCCTTGAGTTATGATGGTTCATTTAGCAACTGTTCGGAGTGACAACGGCCCTCAAAACAAAAAGGGCTGATCGTGTTTCACCCTTACGACTGTGGTGGCATTCTGTTCGGTCACAGAATCAATATTTGTATGCTTGTCAACCGACTTGTATTTATGATAGCAGGGACGGTGATCCTCTTTGGCGACTGCTCTGATTGGCAAATGGGGAAACAAGATTTGCTTACTGACCATATTGCAGTGATTCACTTAGCAACCATGGCCCAAAAGGGGACAAAATTCACTTGATGGCTGTCTCGCTTAATGATGGAAATTTGGGGGAGTTGAATTGCGGCTGTAGGGCAAGGACTGCCTGCAAAATTCTCACAGATTCCTTCAACTGCTTTGGGGCGTGGATGCCATCTTAGTTTGTGCCAATTTAGCAAATTCACCTAAACCAGGATTGCCCAGCATAAGACTGACATTGCTGGCTTGTTTGATGGGAGAATCAGCATCGCTGAAAATCTCTTCACATCTGAAAATACAGTGAGTCCTTGATAAGTCGAGAATTGCTTTGCTTTCACTGCTGTAACGATCATAAGTATGAAAAATGAGAGAGACAGAGAGACAAAATAATTGAGAGAGAGAGAGAGAGAAAAAGAGAAAGATAGAAAAAAGGAAAGAAAGATAGAGAAAGATAGAAAGAGATAGATAGAAAGATAGAGAGATAGAAATAAAGAAATATAGAGAAAGGTGAAAGAAGAGAAAGGGAGAGAAAGAAAGAAAGAAAGAGAGGTAGACAGACAGATAGATGGAAAGAGAGAGAGAAAGAGAGAAAGACATATACATATGTATATGTACATACAGAGAGGGAGGGAGGGAGAGAAAGAAAGAAAGACAGGCAGATAGATGGAAAGACAGAGAAATATACACACATACAGAGAGAGAGAGAGAGTGGAAGAAAGAAAGGTATACAAAGATGAAAGAAAGAAAGAAAGAAATAGAAAGATGAAAAGATAGACAGACAAGCAGATAAGTGGAAAGACAGAAAGAGAGAAATGCACACACACACACACACACAGAGAGAGAGAGAGAGAGATGCAAAGAA